AACCCCAAAACAATACCTTGCTGACATGAGGACATCAAATACCACAAAAGTTGCTAAGCTTCTTACCAACAGTTATTTTTGTTGTGCCTGCACTTCTTGTTGTATGTTACGCCTTACAAAACTGTTCTTAGCTCTTCACTATCAAGAAGCTGCTGTAACTTCTATTCACAAAATCACTTTGTCTGACCTAACTGTTTTAGGATCATTCTAGGGTCAGATTGGTTTATAATTGTTTGTAAATAAATTTTTGTTAGTTTAGATCCAAAGAGTATTTCTTAAATAAGAAGACCATCCAATTATGAAATTTAAAACTGTTTTGATGTAAGTATGACATAAATTATAAAAATAACTAATATCCACCACTTGACTAAATTTTGAACACAATATTGTTATTCCTGGAATAATTATTTAGCAAAATGATACAAGTTATCTACAAAACAAAACAAAAAATATCCACATATAGGTCTGAGGAAAGAAATGCAAGTAGGTCCTATGAATAATAATTGATTGACAGATACTTTTATGAAAAAAATTTTAATCTATTTCCATCCTTAAATGTATAGTGATAGACACTGTCCATTAGAGTTTGTACATAATGATTTTTGTTGTGGACAGAAATTACCAGACAGTGATGTAGCATTACACTTAGTAAAGGAAGGGCATGTCAACAGTCTTGTTTCAGCTGTAGAGAAAAGGTTTGATTAAATCAGTCATGGACTCTTCCAGTTTTGAAGCAAGCCACATGGGCTTCTGCTGCTGGTACTCTAAGAAACTGAGTGCTGTAGCTTTAAATGTTCAAAGTTTATTCTGTATAGATGTTTGAACATTAATTAATGTAGATTGCACTTTTGTTCCCTTTCTCTTCTAGTTCCTTCATAAATAGCAAGGATAGAACTTGCACTTGTGATAAAATGTGATTATTTTAATAAATCATAATACAAACTGATAAGTACAGATTTTAGTGTATATTTGCGTATTTAAAAAATATGTGACATAATTTATACACAGGTTTTACACCGATAATTATATAAGACTTCCATGTATAGCCCATTTACCTCAAATATGTGATTCATCAATTTTATCCTGTGTTGCATCCAAAAGATTTTGTAAAAAGTCTAAATATAACATATTGTAATGCCAGTTACTTCTTCCTAAATAGGTTTGTTGGAACTAATATTCTGCTCTTTTCATTCCTCTACATTAACTAGCTGAGAATTAAGATTCTAAATGTTAGAGTAACTAAAATACTTAGTTTTGAAATTTCATAATTTATAATAAATTGAAAATCAATTCAATCATTCTGATTTTGGCAATGAGAAAGTGACAACTGTTGCAGGCAAAGATGTTTCACTGAATAAAAATGAGTGAACTTCCCCTTACAGCATGTTTATATAATCAAAAGTAAGCAGTTCAATAGGAAGTAATGGTTTGGTATCATAGTTTGATGTGGATCAATTGCTGATATATTTCATTGAATTCTGAAGATTACATAATGGTTTTCATAATACACTAATAAACACACCCAAAATGTAATCTTATGAATGACTAAGTGACCTTTTATTTACATGTCATTTTTCACTACAGTGAATCAAAGGTTATTTTAAACTCATATGATTAAGTCTCATAAAAAAAAAATAGTAGAACTCAAACACCTTAGAGTTTTTGCAAGCTGAAACTGATCAAAACAGACATTTTATGCATCTTGAGTGCAGAAATGAAGGTGTTTGGCCAACTGAAACTGATTGAAAAGGCATGTGATCCATTTTGGGTGTAAAAATAAAAAGTGTGATTTGCCTAACACGTGACACACCTTAAGTAGATTTAGAATCAATGATCTCATGATCATTAAACTGCTATGCGCTGATATGGGGAAGTATGACCCAGGCTTGCAATGCATTAATGGAATAATTCTAGTAACAAAACACTACATATTTTTAAATGCATGAATCTGATTCTATTTTGAATTCATTTTCAACTTGTTATTACTAGTCTGATTTCATTGGCTGGCTTTTGATATGCTTTTTTATTATTTAAAGCTAGTAATTATGTAACAATAAGAGTGTGTTTACACAGAAATGTTAAATCTTTACCATTTATAATTATCAACATAACCTTGGAAAATTAATGCAATTAAAAACAAACTGGTAGTAACAGTCACTAGGCATGAATTTTATAATATTATTAATGTTGAATGGACGGCAACTGCCTTTTGACAGAAGACTTTCAAAGCGTTGTCTTCTACAAAGTTTCATCATTAGTGATGACGAGAAACCCACTTGAAGCAAAAATGTATAGCAGTGACGGCTGGTATGGGTATTAAAACTTTAATTAAAATAAAGTACATGAACAACGTTTCGACCTTCTTAGGTCATCTTCAGGTTAACAAAGACAGTTTGAAAGTTTCAAAATGACTTTGTTAACCTGGAGAAGAACCAAGAAGGTCGAAACTTTGTTCTTGTACTTTATTTTAATTTGTTTTTAATACCCATACCAGCCGTCTCTGCCATACAAAGTTTCATCATGAATACTCTGCCTAAACAATCTATCAAAGAATTACTAGTGTATTATTATTACTTTACTACAATTTACAGAGTAGAATTTACTTATTTAGTACTTGTAGTAGAAATAATCCGAGTCATACAAGTTATAACCATGATATACTCATATAGCCATTATAGGGATATCCTATATTTAAAATTATTATAGTTCGTAGTCTCTATACCCACAATACACATCAAAACTCCGATTTTTTATTACCTCTTAGTTCCCCGCTTCTTACTGTTTCACCGAGAACAGGAGCCTTATTGAACAATTCTGTCGAAAAATAAATTAATTCTCAAAACGAATAAAATTCACATAACTACAAAGCATAAAACCGATTACGCTCCACAGTGTGTGAAAATAAAATTATAGAGCGCCCTCTGTATAAAAATAAGCAAAGTTATATTTATATTTTCTGTTACAATCATAGAAGTATATACCACACTAGCTACTTGGTGGTTACAATATACAAAAAATAAACCAGTTTAGTAAAATAAGATTGTTTAATTTCTCGAGATGTTCAGTTAGTCGTCCAAACACTGATCCTCCAATTCAGATACCGAATGATTAAATTGCTCGAGCACACATTCAAAATTTTACTCTTTGTACGCTGCAAAGAAAGATGTGATTCAAATTATCAGTATTTCTGTAGTATAATATTGTTACGAAAGCCGAAGTCACGTGGTCCTAATAACACGTCATGAGATTCTAGAAGAATCGGAGAACATCACGAATAATCCAGTATTTGCTAGGCGCCCTCTATTCTTGTATATAAGTGCGCCAGATAAAGCGAGACAATTAATCGGAATAGAATTGCAGACAGACAGAGACGGACAATTGAGGCAAGCGCGGTAGTAACTAAAATGCGTGAATCGTTCGTTGTGAATTATAGCGTGTGTTTAAGTTAAAGTGACTGTGGAAATTAAGTGTATTGCAAAGTTGAATTGAGAAAGAATAAACTAGTTTTATTTAAGAAAAGACTTGTATCTCTGAAGTTTCTCGGGAAGAATTTCTACGGGAAATTAACAAACGACCAGAGACGTAACAATATCACATCAACTACGATTTGCTTACGTACGTTACTACAACTGCTTTTCAGCACTTACAAAGTATTGATGATATCAGGTCTATACTTTTAATATTGTGAAAAATTATTATGCCATGCGCTTCTATCTTCTTATGTTATTACAATATTTATTTTTATTTTATCATTTATTCCTATATGTGTGTGTGTTCTAGTTGCGTTTGTTTCTTTGTCATTCTCTAGGAGATAATACCTGTTCTGCCCGATAGCGAAAGAAGGAGTTATTGCTGTAAAATTGCACATTGTGTAAGGATGTCGACAGCAGTGTCTTTCAGTGGTAGTTCAGGTGATATCTAGAGGTAATGACTTCACCTATGTTTGAATGAGAATGACCAGTAGCGTGATTAGTGGTAGTCACATTCTGTAAATACGACATTTCTTACCAAGTAAGGAATGCTGTATTTAGTCCATCTGGGACATGGATTCAGCTTGAAAAGTTGAATATAGAAGATCCAGTAGAAGCAACTGTCCCATACCAAAAGTAAATACACACAGTGTGTGTGTGTGTTTTACGTGTGATATAAATAAGGATTGTTCATTTCGTGTTTCACTTTGTGTCCAGTCTTTCTATTTTATCCATTCTCACGACTCAGTCACTCAGAGATAAACTATTGCTTCGAAATTGCTATATTTACCGAATGGCATGCTATTAATCAGATCTGTTTTATTGCTCTAAAGATAATTCAATTTTACCTGAATGTACTACAATATCATCTTTTTTTTATCTTGGTCTTTCTATACTCACGGTAATAGTAGTTTAGTGGTATTCTCTAATGCACTGATTTCCCTGAGAAGTAATCGGTTAATTTCTCCAGAATAACAAGAGGTTTGACAGAAAATGCCTTTTAGTAGTAAATCTGAATTATCTGACTTGAATTAAGTTGTGAAAAATTAAAGAAACCAGACACAAAGGCAATATAACAACATGAAACAATCTTTATTCAAAATACAAAATAATCAAACTGATAAGTATGGCAAAAGGGTAGTTCATTTCTAGATCTCTACGAAAAACTATAAAACTGCTTAAGGACTCTTCAAAACTGAGAAATTATAGCATATAAGATATACATATTTGGTATATAAACATACCATGAGTTTCTCCTCTATTCTTTTAATATAATATTATTATAAATGTATCAGTTATTTTTGAATACATGCAGTCACATAACACATGATCAAGAAAGTCATTAAGTTGTTTTATTCCAGCTGCTTTTATTCCTTTGTCGTTCTTTGGAGAAAATATCTATTTCATCATTCAAGTTGTAATTTTGCACAATGCACAAAAATCGAAAGAGCAGTGTCCTTCAATGGTAGATCTAGAATACCATCTGATCACGTGAGTCGTGCTAGTTGTTCTGTATGTTACCTGTAATATAAGGAATATTGAAATTAAACAGTTTGGTATACTATTTTGAATAAATCTGTTTCGAGATAAAACGTTTACCTGATCCAGCAAAAGTGACCATCCTATGTCTGTAAGCAAATACATACTGTGTTTGAGTTATGTCATAATAAAGATTGTTTGTTTGTATTATTACGTTGTGTCGTGTGTTTCTTTCTCACAAATATAGTTTCTCAGGGATTCAATACTACTTGTAATAAGTATTGTTACGACAGCGGAGGTCACGTGATACTAGTAACACGCCACGCGCTTCTAGAACGTTCATGAAGCGTCTGGAGACTACTAGATATGGGGTAGTTTTGT